CTTTGTCATAGCTGGTTAAGCACACAGTTTGTGTACTTATGAAAATGGGCAGAAAAGATTGCCCTGTAAGTGCTCATAATGGGACTTCTTTCTGCAGGTGTGTCTGACTCGTTAACTCATATTTACTGAGCGGAATCAGATCAGGTAGCTGAGCACAGATAAGATCACTAAGAGTCCAAGTTTATGTCTGTCGCTGCTTTAGATCAATGACTTGAAGCTTAGTTACTCAAGCATATCTTTGTGTTCGTAGTGTGTCAAGTTATAAAATGTGCACGAAAGAGCCCTGGGCAAGTCAGTGAGACCGCTGAATCTCAGTGACATTTTGCTGAGATGTTAAGTGAACAGGACGCTTAGCCAGCCTGTCTATTATCTCTCCCTCTGTTTCTCTGTCTCTGTCTCTGCTCTTCTCTCTCTGATCTCTCTGGTGTCTATTATCTGTCTTCTCCTTCCCCTTCTCCCCCCCACCACTGTCCTTCATTCATTTCTTCCTTCTTCTTCCCACCCAGCTTTTTCCCCTTTGGTGTCACCTTTGGCTACATTTCTGAACTTCAGAAGTCAGGGCAAAAGTATCCTAATTTTCAGATAGCTTCCAGAACTCTCGCTTCCCCAGGCTTCACAGGGGAAGCTCTGAGGATAAAGGTTCTCTCAGGGACGCAGCACCCCAGAACCAAGCCCTCCCGGCCCTGGTGACAGGGGGAGTAGGCCTGCACTCTGTGACGTGTGGGCCCCGCACGGGGCTGCCAGCGGGCCAGCTGCCAGGGCCACCCGCCTTCCCTTCTTGTCGGGAGGACCTCGGGGGTCCTGACTCTGGACAGTCAGGGGCTGGAGAGCGTGCCTCCATCAGAATATCTGAAAATGGAGGCAGCGTTCTTGGCTCCAGCTTTTATCGGTACAGAGTTAATCCCTGGATTTGCACCGGCTGTGGAAGGGCCTGTCATCCCTTAAAGGACAGGGAGCGCACTGCCCCGTCCTATGCACAAAGGGGCTGAAGGCAGCCGCGCTGTTGCCTTGAGGGAAAGTGGTTTCACACGCTGTCACGTGCACGCGAGCGCGCAGACACGCACACACGCGCGTGCCCGCGTTTGCAGTTCGGACGTGGGAATGAACTCGCTGCCAAGTGCTCGCTCTGCACCGGGCGCTCTGCGGGGCGGGGAGCCTCTCCTCGCTGGTCTAAACCTGCTCACAGCCCCCAGGTTCAGTTTCATCATCTCCACACTGCGGAGGAGGAAACTGAGGCTGGGACAGGTTCCGTGGCTTGTCCAAGGTCGGCAGCTGGTGAGTGGCTGGGCCCGGAGTCGAACCCGGAGGAGGTCAGCTGGCCCTCGGGCGGCCGCCTCGGCCTGTGAGCCCCCGCTGTCCCTTGCAGAGAGCCGAGCAGGTGAACGTCACTCAGCGCTGGCGCCGCGCGGGGGAGCGTTGTGCCCGGAGAGCCGAGGCCTCAGACGCTCCTCTCGGTTCTGGTCTCTGCACAGATTCTTGAGAAAAATCAGGGAGCTCGGGTTTGTCGTGGGCCGGACAAACCTGCAGCTCCTGCGGCTCCTAGCCACGTGTTTCCTCTGCCATTTACCAGCTCTGGGGCCTCTGCAAGCCTCAGTTTCTCCGTTGGTAAAACGGGCTCGTGTTCCCACTTCATCGGGTTGTCGTAGACACCGGGGCCCCGCTGCAGGGCCTGGCCCAGGGAGGGCGCCTCGGGCCGCCCACCGTGACTCTTCCAGGCAATCCTAACAGCTTCCCAGATGCAAGGTGGACTCTTGGGTTGGACCCTAGAACAGAAAAAGGAAAGACCCGTGAAATCCAAATAAAGCCTGGACTTCAGTGAATAGGAAGGTTCCAGGGTTGGTTGGGCGCTCGTGACAAATGCTCCGAACAGGTGAGATGTCCCCGTTAGGGGAGCCTGCGAGGGGGCTGTGGGAGTGCTCTGTGTTCTCTGCGCTTCTCTCTAACCCTATAAAGTTATTCTGAAATATTTTTTTAACTTAACTTCCTTTGGTCTCATTTCTTCAAAGTTAATGTTTTGCAAAATGAGAAATTAATAACTGCTTACAAATGAATCCCTAGCAAATTGTTAAAGCTTGTACTTCCCTTTCCACGTTTA